CGAGAGGAATATGATGGTTTAGTGGAACCCCAAAGCTCAATTTCGTAAGTCTAAATAGGTCTTATTATTGTCATATATATGAGTCGTTTGTAATTGATTGGAAGCTTAGAGCGTTTGTCTAGTAAGTGCTGCAGAAGTCGAAAACGTCGGGCAGTTTCTAGTCGTTTCAGTCTGGTATGGGGGTTCCAAGTGAGTCGTTTGTCAAGGTGGAGTCCTAAGTATCGGATTTGTTCGACAGGAATAAGAGGGCTATTGTTAAAGGATACTGTAGGATAGGAAGTCATAGGTTTACGGTAATTTGATGGGATTTATTGGAATTTAACCTTCCCCTAAATTACCTTTATTTTTTTTTTGATGAGTTGGTGCGGTCAAATAAATACTGAATTTTTAAAAAATCGTATTGTTTTAAAAAAAGACTATAGGTCTTTTTATAAGCTCCACTCTGACAACCTCTTTCTTTAAGAAAAGTAAAACTGTTCAATATTTATTTAATATTAACATAATTTTATTTAATATATTTAAATATGTCTCAATATGTATTTTTAATAAACATTGTTTTTTTTTCCTCCATATTTTTTATTTTGATCAATTGGATTTCACTCAGAGGAGTTTTGCTTCGCACCATAGAACCCGTTATCTATAAATAGCTATAAAACAATTTTAATTATCAAGAGGATATTATTCAAATTCAACTACATAAGTCCAAAGTGATAAATATGAAATCGAATATGTTCTTTCCATCTTTTGATTATAAAATGAATATTATTTTATCTAGAATTTGATCTGAACAAGCAATTTCTAAGAGAAACTTATTTATTTATTTATCAACCCTGCCGTGCCTAGTGGGCAATACGGGTGTCTGCAATAGTAAGATGTTAAGCTGACCTGCTTAACATCTCACTGCTGCAAATGAATCTCGTTCTTCTGCTCTTTCTTCATTTTTTTTCTCTTTCTTCATGGTTGCTTTTCTCATCCGTGTCATGTCAATGGTATAGTACCTCTTCCTCCTCTTCTTGAATTGAAATGGGCTGGCCCCACCGCGACTTTCCACCCGTACACAAAATCTTTGTAGAAGGACGGAAAGTAGAAGAGTGTGTTATTATGCATTAATGCTTAACATCACACTACTGCATACACCCGTATTGCCCTGGTGGCATGGGAGGGTGGAAAATAAATAATAAATTATACACGGGCATACACATCATACTATTTTCTCAAAAACGGCTCTAACAATTTTGATTAAATTCTGATTACCATCTAAATAATTGGACTTTAGTATCATTGAGATCACATGACAGGGCTTAAATGTTCAATATGTCTTCATCTCAATTATTTTCAATTTGGTTTATTTTAAATAATTAACTATATCTCACTATTAACAGTTACGGAAAAATGCTATATATAACTTTTGAAAGTATTTGATGATTACCAATTATAATTGGAAAATGAAGAAAAAGAGAAGAAATGTTTAAGCAGGCCGAAAATCGATTTCCGTAAATATTATTCAGAAGGTATACGAATAGTTAGAAAGCTGAGAATTAAAAAAATAAATAAATAACTAATTTAGAAGGTTATAGAAGGTAACGGAGAGTGACTTAAAAAAAAATTATAAATAATAATTTGTGAAAACTAATATTATTTAACATAAATCACCTTTTTTCTTTTTTTTTTTTCCTGGGAAGTTGTCAATTTAATTTAGTTGCTTGGCAATAATAACTTCCAGTTATTAACAATTCGAGTATATTTTTAACGTTACATGTTAACAGGCTAGTTTACGTTTCGGGACCTTTTATTCCCATCTTCAGAACTGCAATTCCAATACTCTTGCAAGGCTAAAAATTTTTTAAGTTATAATATTGTGCTTGTTACATTACATATTTGAATTATGTTTGTTACAATAAATTTGTAATTACCTTAAATTTAATAATAATAATAATAATGTGCTCCATCGTCAATTTTCTAATTCATGTTCTAAAATTTATCATCTAGAGCAACATCCTCCTTTTGACCAATAATTGGGTTTCTGCCATAGTGAAAAATTGACCTTTGGATCTAAATGTTTTATCTGACTATTTTTATTATTGTTGTTAATGTTTATTTTATGTGTCTGTGATTTCACTTCTATTAAATTTTAATTTTGTTCAATATATCTGTATAGTGGGTTCCTAAATGTTTAGTGTCTGTTTTGTAGTTGATTGTTGTTCTGTTGTTTTTTGTAATGTGTATTGCTTCAAGTAATTTTCTATTGGTGGTTTTTGGTTCTGTGCCTATTATCTGTGGTTTCTTAAAATTAAATTTATGTTGTAGTTTTATACTGTGATGTGCTAAGGCTGTTGTGTTTATGTTTTTTGGATTTTTACAGTTGGTGATGTGTTGTGAGATTCTAGTTCCTGATTGTTTGGATGTTTCACCAATGTAGATTTTGGGGCAGTTTTGGCAGTTTAATTTATATATTACATTTTTCTTGTTTATTGTTTCTATTTTATCCTTTGTGTTGGTGATGTGCCTGCTTAGTTTCTTGTTATTGTATTGTCCGAATTTAATTTCTGTCAAGTCATAATCTTTGAACACGTTATTAATTTTGTTAGTGAGTCCAGGTATGTATGTCATTTTGTAGTGGTAGTTGAAGTCCATTTTGTTTGTTTGTGCTATGTTATCCATTGTTTTCGTTTGTTGGATTTGTTTTTGTTTTTGTTAACAAGCACAATATTGTAACTTAAAAAATGTTTAGCCTTGCATCCACAAGAGTATTGGAATTGCAGTTCTGAAGATGGGAATAAAAGGTCCCGAAACGTAAACTAGCCTGTTAACATGTAACGTTAAAAATATACTCAAATTGTTAATAACTGGAAGTTATTATTGCCAAGCAACTAAACATAAATCACATGTTTTCAAGGAAATTAAATGAAATTTCTTAAGCTTTAAGCTAAGTCCATTAAAAATGCGCTTCAAAAATTTTGTAATAGCCAAAACATTGCCAGAAAATAATTTCTATCCAGAGTAGAGCGGTAAGTGAAAGTTGTGTGATGCGCGCTCCAGATTTTTTCTCTTTAAATTAACGTGTTAGATAAATAATAAATATGACCATAAGGGGAAAAAGTAGTAAAAATAAATTTGGATTGATAGTCAATAAATCATTTGGTGTTTGCCAAACGGTAAAGATTTAATTAAGGTAAGATAGTTGAGGATAGTTTGATCATACCATAAATATATATGACTGTTTTAGTTTAGTAAAGATCATTAAGGGGGATATGACTCGATCTGATTAAACAGATGCATTTAGTTTTATGCAATCCTGTCCATTTCTTTTACAGTTATTTCAAATGATTTTTTTATTGTACCGTATGTTCAAGGCTTTTGATTTTTTTTTTCCATTCGCCAATAAAAGATGATTATCCTTTGGATGACATGAACCTGTACTAAACCACTTATGGTTATTGCATAGAGATGATAATGCTAATAAGTCGATGCAGGTGTGCATACATTATCATCGCAAGCTACGTAATTGCGTATATAATCATGCAAGCTCTATAAGTGCCGCTTAGTGCGTATGTTGCTGTAATTATCGACAGCTGTATTTATTGTCCTTTCTCTATAGCCAAGGTGCCTCTAACATTGTCATCCAAGTTATTTGTCGTGATAGTTCTATTGTAATAGTGTGAAATTGGTTCTTTACAGTTCTGCTATAATTTAATACTAGCATACTATTATAATATAAATATTATAAAAAATATTTATAAAGTGTGAAAGCATTAATATTATAGTCCGTGGTACAGACCCCTTTTTATCAAATTATTAACATCTTCCTGAAACTTCGTGAATAGCTTCATCTCATCGTTACCTTCAAATATTTTATTTACGAAAATTCTTGGAATTGGATGGTTTTCAATCTGGAGGTCTGCATGATTTGTCTATTCGATTAGGTACTAAAAACTCTTAAAACCCTCTTTGCTTTCCGCTTGAATAGTAAGATAATTTGAGCACAAAAACGAGGAAAAAGAGGGCCTTCAAAAATATTGAGCCTTTTAACGTGACCTACACCCCCAAATTGTCAAAGTAACAAGATTATATAGGACAAACGGTCTAATATTTATGTAAATCATTTTTTTCTTGATTTTATGCTAAAATTATCTTACGATTAAGGTGGAAAGCAAATGTATATTTAAGAGTTTTTTAGTAGAATATTAAATATGAAAAATTTGTCCCCCTCCAGATTGAAAACGCCCCAATTCCAAGAGTTTTCGTTAATAAAATAGTTGTAGGTTACGAAGAGGTGAAACTATTATCGAAGTTTCAGCTGGATGTTAATAACTTCATGAAAAGTGGTCTGTACCATGGACTATTTTCTATTCGCTCTTTGAAAATATTTACTTAAAATTATAATCGGTAGAGAGCAGAATTGAGAATATTTCATGTCCTCATATTAGATAGTTACCATTTGTATCGTCGATGAGTTCCTTCAGATTTATAAGCAAAGTAGCAATATTTCACAGTTCTCAAGATTTTATCACATCTAGTGATCTAAACATAATTTTACTATCTGAAACTAAAAAAAAAAAAAAACTTGTCTCATTTTTATCTGATCTCATTTCTTATTTAAATCGACTTATTAGTTTTAATGGTACCATTTAAGGTTGAAGTTTCCACATCACACACGTTCCATTATAAAAAATATGTATATTATTTTCTAATAAAATATTAATAATAATTTATTCAATTATATACTGAGATCAATTATACTGATTGTATAGTTAACGGTTCTAGTTTCTGCTCCTTATGCGTATACAAATTTTTCTGCATCCGCGTACATTCCGTGCTATATTCCGCAAGCCGTCATAACATTAGCAAAGTGCGATTACCATGTTGAGCAGTTGATAGGTTCGAGATCCGCTAAGATAGTTGAATAAATTAAATGTTGGAAATGCCGCTATAATGCTAATTCCACTGGATAGATATTTACATACAGGACTGGACCCGTTGATTGGACACCATACTAGGCAATGACGGCACTTCAACCGCCGAGTAAGGTATGCAGTCATTAGGCTGGATACCTAGATACCTGGATACCTGGATAAGAGTTTAGGATCATCTGGTTCGGTTGGTGGCCTTGATCTTGGCAAGACCCTGGACGGCCTTCCGGCTCAAGGTCCACAGCTCGCAGGCAGCCATCCTTGTCGTCTTTCCTCCACAAAATTTTACTTCTTCCTGTATTTTGTATATGGCAGTATCAACACAAACACTCTTTTATATATATATATATATATATAATAGGGTGTGTATTAAAAAAAAAGCTGCAAATTATTTCACAATGGTTTATTATTTCCCAAATTATATATATATATATATATATATATATATATATATAAATAGGGTGTGTATTAAAAAAAAAGCTGCAAATTATTTCACAATAATTGGTAATTGGTTGACTGTCGTGGATAATGAAGAGAAGAATAGTTGGGGTGCTCAGTCTGCATATGTAAAAAATAAATATTATAATTTATTTTTTGACTGAGCACCCCAACTATTCTTCTCTTCATTATTTCACAATAGTTTATTATTTCCAAAAATTATACATATAAAATAACATTAATTTCCTAGTGCCATGAAAAATAAATAAAAGTTGATCCCAATTATTGGATTAAATTTTTTTTTTCATCATTAGTAATTATGTAAAAAAAAAATAGCATTACTTCCGTAACACATTTTTTTTTCTCTTTAATTATTTACACGCACCTGTCATGGTGTTGACAATCAGCACATGTGTTCTCATGATGAGGATTAACATTAGAGGAATGAGGAAGGATAGTACCCAGCAGCACCTCTTCCTGTTCATTATTTATTTTTTTTATTTAGCTGAGAAGATCTCTCATCCAGCTCTTTTTTAATCTTCTCCTGATGGGCAGTACGTATGTGTTGGTCTATAGTTGGCTGTCGTAAGTCATTATGTAAAGTTTTGTTGTTGAGGTACCAGGGAGCTCCTGTTAAAAGTCATAAAATTTTGGATTGAAATTACTGTAGTTTTTGTAAGTGCGTCTTTTTTGCCGAACCGTAAATCTGAGAGGCGTATGTCCAAATAGGTTTGAGTAGGTAAGTGTGCGTATTTAGTTTTTGTCGAACTTTCAATTTCGATTTAGAAAAGAGTGAGTACAGTATTTTCAATCGCTTGTTTAAGGTCTGTCATTTCATTTTGGCGTGTGTCATCCTTCTGTCGAATATTTGTCCCAGGTAACGTAATGTGTTTGTCTGAAGAATTTGGTTCTCTCCTATATAAACTGGTGGACAAGTTTCTCGTCGAAGTATAAATGCTATATGCTCTGACTTATCATGATTTAATCTTATTTTCCAAAGTGAGTACCAATTTTGTAAACTCAGTAAATGATTTTTTTTTAAATTTTTTAACACATTTTAAAATCATAAATCTGTTGTTTTTATTTTGTTTTGTTTTTTATTTATTGATATTTACAACTTTATTGTAAAAAAATACAACTAGTAAATGTGCACTCAGTAACAATACAATCACGTGAAAACGCTTGTTGAGGAACTACCCATAGGTAGCACTCTAATAATATATTTACATAGATCACGAGACCATCTTCTTTTCAGACGCCTCGTAGGGTAATCAGGGATCGAGGAGGAAGCAAGGTTTGAAACGAGAGGGTTCGGATGATTCTGGAGTTTGTTATGGAAGGATAGGTATCTGGATTGCGCCAAATCGGAAACATATGGAACATTAAGGTCTTTCTGGATGATTTTATTGGTGATAAAGTACGGAGCATTGAGGATTTTGGATTGTAGGGATTGGATACGAGAGGAATTCGATGGTTTAGTGGAGCTCTAAAGCTCAATTCCGTATGTCCAAATAGGTCTTATTATTGTCATATATATGAGTCATTATGAGTCTTATTATTGTCATATATATGAGCCATTTATAATTGATTGAAAGCTTAGAGCGTTTGTCTAGTAAGTGTTGGAGTAGTCGGAAATGTCGAGCGGTTTCTTGTCGTTTCAGTCTTATATGAGGATTCCATGTGTCATTTGTCCAGGTGGAGTCCTAGGTAACTGAAAAAATAAAAAACCTAAACAAAGGATATAACCTTTGCATTGGAACATATAAAAACATCTAGAGACCGTATCTTTGCTCTAAATGTTCCGATTTCAACATTTTTTTAAAGGAAATTTAGTAAACTTTTAAATAACCATGTACAAAAAAATGTATATTTTTTGTGTTATTCGGAATCTAATTTTACTAACCCTGGTAAATTATTTTCTAGGTTCTTTTCGTTGAAGTATTTTATATATATAAATTGAAAGAGCATCGAGAGGAAGACTTTAGCCAAGTTTCGTTGAAATCGGTATATCCGTTTAGGCGCAGCAGTCTATAGCAACGCAGGTTTTTCGGCCACCATTTTGAAAGGAAAAGGCGCACAGTAATGTCGATGAAGGAGGATCATCCGCGAGTACAAATAAAAATTTGAAAAAAAATCGTTAAAGCAGTTTCGAAGAGAATGCGCGGACGGACAAAAAAAATATTCTTTTTTCGAATTCTACGTATCCTGAAACGTAAAACCTCAAATTTTACGTTTAGGGGATTAAGTTTTGAATTTTCGTTCGATTACAATGGTTCATTATTGAAAATAATAAACCAAAATGACTGTTTTATCAAATTCATGATTTCAAAGGACTGTAAATATATTAATCCTATTTAATACTTACCAATAATTAATAATCCCTTTAGAGCACTCTCTAAGCTTGTTTAATCTTACTACTCGACTTCTTCAAAAAATCCTCAGTTTAGTTATTTGTTCATAGAAGAATCATGACAGTGTCCTACGAAAGTCTCGTAATTTTAAGGCATTACTGAAAAAAAAATGTCACAGCCGCTGAAGCGACTCGTAAAAATATTAAATATGAAGGGGGAGATGTTTTTAAAAATCTATATTATACATCGCACTTAATCGCCAATTTATATTATTATATAATTATAATTGTGGATTGATTGTTGACTGTAGAGAATAATTGAATTCCAGGGTGATCAGTCAAAATAAGAAATAGTAAAAATAAATAATTATATAATATTTTTATTTTTGCCGACGTTTCATTGGATCCATTAGATTATTTTGTGTGGGGCTGGATAAAGTCTATGGTATATTCTGCGGCAGTTGGCACGCAAGAAGAGCTAAGAAATCGGATCGTGGAAGCCGCAATAACTATCAAGCACCATCCTGATGATATATGAAGAGAAGAATGGATTCGTCGTGCTGAATGCTGCATTAAAAAAAAGGAGGCCCCTTTAAACAGTTACTCTAAATGTTGTAATAATAATAAATAAATAGTAATAATAAATCTTTAACCTTTGATATCTGGTTAATAAATGAGTTAGGGATATATTTTAATATGAACTTTTTTGTCTATTTTGTGTTATTGAACACATACCTAAAATAGTGCCGTTCAGTTACGAAACACCATATCTATATAGAGGGTAACCCTATAGTTGAAAAAAAAATTAATATTAACCAAAAAACTTTATTATATTAAAGTCACGCTAAGGTTGGAGGAAATTATGCTCAATAAATACGAAGAATGTTCAAGTAAAAGAATGTTATATTATTCAATAAATAAATAAAAAATCCCCCAGAAATGATGTAGGTGAAACCCTTATAGACCATGACAATTTAATGTTCACTAAACATATTAATTGCGACATTAATGATGAATATATAACGGAGGACTCATCAAGACTTGAAAATGACCCTTAGTATGGTCGAAACGTCGAATTAAATAGCGTATCAATAAAAAGTTTGGTGATAATTGGCCTAATATATATAAATATAAAAAATATTTTTTTAAAATCTGATGACGAAAACAAAGGACATTGATGGTTTTTAAGCTGTCTAAATCCAGTTAGCACTTTTCATGCTACGCTTCGATCCGGTTAGTTCAAACTCAGCTTTTTCTATCGAGCTGTGAATAGCTTTTTCAACTATTCATACACACCAGACTAAACATTAGACGTTGACAAAGCACATTCGGAATCGTTCTCTATAAAAAAACACTAGAATAATAACTTTGGAATGATATGTCTTGTCCAGTAAGAAATTAGCTATTTAAAAGGATTTAAGGCTATCTCATAAATAATAATATGAGCCTTTCAGTTGACAGAATGGCTAACTCCATTTTCAACTTTTTTAGAGTAATTTTAGAGATATTTCTAGTTGGAAAATTAATAATATCTTTACAGACAGTGAGAAAGCTGCTTCAAGAGTAGGTGAATACAGTATTGAAATATATAATTATGAATAAAATTATAACTTTTTTTCTCACTAGAAATATCACTAAAATTAATAATAAAAAATGTTGAAATTGGAGTTAGTCATTCTGTCAACTGAAAAGTTCGTATATTAGTCCGTGGTACAGATCCCTTTTTTTTTCTTGTGATCGAATTGTATTACGATTCAAGTTGAATGCTAATGAGTATTTATGATTTTTAGTGTCTCGCTTTCAAAGTTTAACGTTGATGAAGTCATTCACTAAATTTTAGACATATATTAATAATTCGGTAAGAAGGATTCTGTACCACAGACTATAAGATTTAAATTGAATATTTGATAGCTGACCGTTGCATTACAAAGGAAGGAGATTGTCCGGGGCATCGGTCATAAATAGGCTAAATAGTGGCAAAACTATTTTATTTAAAGCCAACGTTTCATTTAGTACTCCATAATTTTATTTTTATTTCAAAACATTTTTTAGAAACATTCTGATATTTATACGTTACAGACAGATTAGTAATCAAGCAGTTAGTAAGTTTAGCATATTTAGAGATCAGTAACTGCATTTTTCATGTTTTTTTTTTACTGTACATTTTAGGGTTTTTTTTTTTTACTGCATATTCTATGGGTTTATAAAATCCGGCCATTGGTAATATTAACATAAAGAATTTTTCCCCTTCTAGGTGAGCCTTGATAAACCTGCAAAACTATTCAATAGTGCTGGTCTAGTATACCATCTTCGCCGGCCTAGTTCAAAGTAATTTGTCTGTGCCATAATAGGCATATTAAGCACGATTTTTTTTTTTTTGTCAATAAAATATGTATTTGCGCCTGTGAACAATAAGTTGACAATCAGCAAATGTGATGGCGATAATGATATAATGACATGACAGGCATGGGGAAGGAGACTACTCAGCAGTACCTCTTCCCTAACTTGTTCCAATTACTTAGGTTGTCTAAGGAAGGAGATCTCTCATCCAACGCCTTTTTAGTCTCCTGCTCATGTTCTGAGGTATGTCAGCTGTGGCCATGTCTCTTATAAGTCTGTTATTATGTCCATTTAAATTTGTGTAAAATCGTTGATATAGGGTCGTTATAGGTTGGTCAACTGTTGGAAAGTGGAGGTCAGTATGTAGAGTTTTGTTAGTCACGTACCAAAGTGCTTTTGTTATGAGTCGCAATAATTTTGATTGGAACGTTTGAAGTTTTTGTAGGTGGGTCTTTTTAGCGATGTCGTATATTTGTGATGAGTATGTCCATATGGGCTTAAGTAAGTATGTATATGTATTCAGTTTCTGTTTTAGTTTTAGTTTTGAAGATTTGGCAAAAAGAGAGTAAAGTAGTTTGAGTCGTTTGTTAAGTGCCATGCGTTTCATTTTAACATGTGGGCTCCATGTCATCCTTCTGTCGAAGGTGAGTCCAAGGTAAAGTACCGTGTCCGTTTGAGGAATTTGAGGAAGCACGATTAACTTATAAATTTATGCATAATTAATTAAGATTAATTAATAGCATTCAATATAAAATAATAAAATTTATTTATGACCGCCTTCCCGGATCATCTCCTTCCTTTATAAGATTTAAAAGTAAAACGTTCCGTTATTTAAAACTGCGATTCTAGCCAATTTATGCAATTTTATTATTTTATATTGAAGGTTATTAATTATTCTTAACTAATTTAGTAATTAATTATACATAAATATATATGTTAATCGTGTTAAATATGCTTATTATGTCACAGACACAAATTGCTTTGAACTAGGCCGGCGGAGATGGTATACTAGACCAGCACTATTGAATAGTTTTGCATGTTTATCAAGGCTCTCCTCGAAGGGGAAAAATTCTTAATGTTACTATTACCAAAGCCGGATTTTATAAACCCATATAATATGCATTAAAAAAACCCTAAAATGTACAGGAAAAAAAAACAACGTGAAAAATACAGTTACCATATCTAAATATGCTAAACTTACTAACTACTTGATTAAAAATCTGTTAGTAACGTATTTAAATATTATAATGTTTCTAGAAAAAGGTTTTGAAATAAAATAAAATTATGGAGGACTAAATTAAATACCAAACTAAAGATTAAAAATAACTAAACATATGCCACTAATAAGATTATAATATGCATGATAATGGTCAAAAAACGTATCATGAACCACATTAAAAAAATAAAATATCAAAATAATACTAACCATACATACGAAAAAAACAATTATTATATTATGAGAAGGAGTTAACTGGGGGGGGGGGAGGGTGCGGTCAAATAAATACTAAATTAAAATATAGTAATTATTTAATCTTTGCCTACTTATACTTATTTAATCTTTACTTTGATTACTACTATCTTACTTATTTACTCCTATCGCTATCAACTTGTTACTGTTTTTCTACAATCTTATTACTATTACACTTATATATTTATTTTTTCCTGATGTTATTTTAAATTTTGTCATTTTTAGCCCTGAGGATGATTCTCATGTTTGGATCGAAACGTCCGCTAACTTAATAAAAATATCTTGATTGAAAGTCCTGAAAATTTTGTTTCATTCTTTTTTTAAATTCCTTTTCTCCTCCTCCACACTTCATCCATCCTCTTTGAGTACTGTGTGTGGCTTCCTCTTCTCCGTACTATTCCTTTCCACTGAAAGGATCCTCATTTCGTCAACAAGTATTTAGAATTCGACTCTACCTATACAAACCTAGCTTGTTGTATTCAGAATAGCTATTTTGTCCTTTATATGTTTCGGATAACCCTTATATTCTTGAGTCCTGGCACTTAATTAATTTTTTTATATTCAATCTATTTCTGTCCCTGCCGACTATATACATATAAAATCACAATCTTCTTTTTCTCATTGAAGTATTCTATGCTCTACTCCCCTTCTATTTTTTTAGCGCCATATATATTCCGTAGAATATTCCTTTCTGTTTATTACAACCTCTTTATATTTGTTAACCCCATTGTTGTTTCCGCACCGTAAAATATCACCCATTTCCGAACAGGTTTTCGCAGTGCCTAATTTTGCTCCTACCCATCCCAAATAAAATATTTATGTCCCAAATTTTATCTATCTTATTATTTTTCCCTATTCTATCCTTTTTTTTCTGTTCTTCCCTACCTCGCCTTTTAGGCTATTCGGGATTTTTCCGGGCCGGAGGGTGAGGGCGAGGAATTTAAAATCCCCTCCGGAACGGGACGCGAACTCGTACTTTTTGAATCATATCAACTCTGTAATCCGGTTGCCAGGCACCTCGTGGTGCTGTGCACACGCTTTAGCCCATACGGCCACCCCGACCCCTTCCCTATTCTATCACCTCCATTGTAACTTACCTATTCTCCCGAATACTTAAATTATTTTACTGTCTTTATTTCCCCATATTTTGTTTTTACCTTTTTCCCTGTTTTATCATTCATCATTATTTCGGTATTAGTGAATGATAATTCTAGTAATTCTTCAATCTGTTTTGCTGTATTGCTTTTTGTTTATTTTCTGCCATAAAAGCCAGGTCATCCACGAACGCCAAACATTTGATCTCTACCCCAACATTACCACTTAAATAGCTTATTATTATTATAAACTTTTTTTTTATAATTAATGATAAGTAGCGTTTTATTTTTTACTTTATTTATTTTTTAATATTTCCTCTTCTTTTGTTGACAGCTCGCAGGCGGGGTGAGCAGCATCTCCGTGCCTACCGGTAAGGAGACACCCATCACCCCCGCGAAGGTGACACCGAGGCCGACCTACCGACCACCAACGGCACACCCGGCCCCCGTCGTGGAGTACACACTGGACAACCCAGAGCCTGAACCTCTGGACCCAAGCTGGGCCTTTGTACCGGTCAAGTACCTCAACGTTCTCTCGGCGAACTCTATCAGATATGTAAGTGTCTCAATTATATCTAGTCCGATAGCCCGTCCAATTTATTTAACTTTTATATATGGATTTAGAAATAGAAATAGAAAATAATCTTTATTCTGGGACTAGATCCCTTAAGAATAAAAATATTGTTTAAACCAATTGACAATAAATCTGACCAGATGACCTATTATAATAACGAGTAACTACAATCTAAGTAATAAAATGAGTATATACATAGTTTTGGAGGGTATATTTAGAAAAGTAGACGGGTACAATGGTTACAATATTATAATATTGGTACAAATAACAACAACATACTAATAACTAAATAAAATTGAATAGAAATGCTACATGTAAAAAAAAATTGCTAACGCGATTCAAGGGAAAACATTTCACAGCCAAAAAAGTCAACTTTTTTCGATTTGTTTAGTATTTTTTGTTTTTACTTATTGCTCCTAAACGGTCCATCAAAACGAAAAACATACGCTTTGAGAAATAAAATATCGTTAAATTGTGCGTCGAACAAACGCCTAAACATAATAATTTGGTTAAGTGGGATAGTAGAACACAAAACACTTCTTCTTTTGCATCACCCTGTAGTGCCTTTCAGCGTAGGGGAGCGTCTAACCAGGATTGCCAATTTTCCCTGTTTCTTGCAAGATTTCTGACTTGGCGTATATTCTTATTTCTGCTTTTGTACAGGCGGTCTACGTATTCGAGGTACGACATTCTCGGTCTGCCCGCTTCTGCCATTGGAGACGTAGTCCATAGACTTTAATGGATCTCTGTGTTCTTCCATCCTGACGACATGCCCAAACCACTTAAGCTGCCGAATCTTTAGGACATCCTTCATCGGGGGAACTCCCAATTCCTCCCTGATTCTCTCGTTGCGAATGCAGTCCCGTCTCGTTCCCTGCGATCCTTCGGTGAAACCTCATTTCTGCAGCAGTGATTTTTCTCTCAAGTTTGTCAGTCAGTACCCAGCTTTCTGCACTATACAGGAGTATAAGCAAGTATACTGCCTTAAATATGTGCAGTTTTACACCTCTGCTCACTTCTCTCTTTCCGATCACAGTATTGCAGATCTGGTAATATATAGCGTTTGCTTTGCTTATCCTGTGCAGAATTTCTGAATCCACTTTCCCAGACCGATCCATAACAGAACCAAGGTAGGTGAAATCTGACACAACTTCCATCACCTCTCTGTTGCAATACACTGTAACATCTTCCTGCACCCTTCCAACCTGTAGGATCTTGCTCTTTCTTGTACTGATGACCATACCCTTCCTGAGGAGCTCCTCGTTCCATTCGTCAACTGCCTGCTGTAATTTCTCCACAGAATCAGCAATCAGGACAATATCGTCCGCATATAGAAGAAACTGAAATACAACTGGAAGCAGATTCCTTCGCCCCAGAAACGTCCTTTCTGTTCGTCTTTTGCAGATTGCAGCAATTTCATCCATATATAATATAAATAGCAGCGGGCTTAAACTATCACCTTGTTTGACCCCCTTAGCTATGCTAAAATAGCCAGATTCCTGTCCATTCACTCTGGCTATTCCTTTTGGATTTGGGTATATGGATTTAATGGCCTCAACCAGGCTTCTAGGAACATTCTTTACTCTTAGTGTTTCCCATATTTCGTTTCTTGGGACAGAATCAAATGCTGCTTGAAGGTCGAGGAAGGCCGAGTTCAGATTTTTATCATTATCCCATGATTTTTGCATTATATTCCTGAGGGTGAATATATGATTCTGTGTCTGACGCCCTGGTCTGAAACCAGCTTGCTCACACAAAACACTTGATATTTTAAATACTATATTTTAATATTGTAATTATTTTTTATTTATTGAATAATATAACATTCTGTCAATTGGACATTGGTTATTGGGAGATAAGATCACATTCACAGAGTATGCACAAAAAATATACAAAGTAAACAGAAGCAAAATAACAAAATAATAAAAAAGTACACACAATAAATTAACTTAAAGATAAATTTTAAAAAACAGATAAATACTTATGTAAACTGTAAAATAATATTTAAAATACTTTTTTCCTTGGGCTCTACTTGCCATAAAAAAAAAAAAAAAAATGGGAATCAGAAATATATTTTTTTAGCTTTCTTGTAAGATTTATTTTAAATAATAAATCCAACACAGCACTGGCTCATCCTAATATTGAAAGTAGCTTGAGGTCTGACAGACACTTATGCTTTTAATATAAAATAATTTGTTTATTTTTCTGCTTATATTATTTACCTTAATACTAACTTTAACATAATTTACTTTTAATATAATCATTGCCAGGATAAGAAACAATAAATATAATTTCAACTCAGTGGTTTCCCCACAGGAGAGAAATTACATTTTTAGGAAAAAGAAAAAAAAATTTAAATATGCTAACTAGAGTTTCAATGTTACAGTAATTCACAAATTCTGGTCTATTTGTGAGTTACTGTAAATAAATTATTATTCATTAGTTCATTTAGTTACTTCAGTTGTATATTTATATTGTGTATACATATATATCCATATAATGTATATAGTTAAGTTATTTATCTGAATTGGTGAAGCCAGCCACGTTCCATAGGCTCTGAAACTAGTAGGAGTCTCCTCTTATGTGATATACACATGTTTATTTATTATGTTTCTATTTGTATATGTTTAAATACACACATATAGTATAAATAATGGTCGATATACCTAATAATATTGTATATTTCAATTGAACCTTTAATTGAGGTGTTAAATAGAAAAGGTAGTAAGTAGAAAAAAAAAATCATTTTTCAGTTTTTTTTTCATTTCAAAACATAGTAATTAGACATGCCAATGATATAGAAAGAGGCATTAGCAGGTCCAGGATTTAATTTTGGTGAGGAGGGGGCTTCAGCTCGCAAGCTTTTTTTTTCCATGTATATATATATATATATATACTTGAAACATCTGTACCACTAACAACCCCTGAAGTATTATGGGTTCAGTATAATGTGAGGAATTACTGTTATAAGGCCAATGGTTATACAGGGGGTTTACCGGCCATATCATGCTCAACCGCCAGGTTTTTCCTCTTAACTAATTATTTAATTAAGAGTACCCACTTTATAGAGGCTGGGTTTGCACCAGAAAGGCCTCCCAGCCTGAGGGTTGACCCACAGCTGATAAAAAATTCCTAATCAACAATCAGATTCGAACCCAGGACTTGATCTCTGGAAGTCAGTGCTAACCCACTGGGCTACTGTATATATATACAAATTTTAAAATAAACAGGATCAATATAACAACTAAATAATAATCAAAATGATTAAAGCTTAAAAAAGAAATGTCAAAATTGTTTTTTGCATCTTCTGTAAAATAACCTTTACATGAATTACTACCTTCTCCATTTCAATGCCTCAATTATAAAATCTAACTATTTTCACTTGGCCTCAGCAACTATTGAATAACAATATTGCTTGACATTGTATAAATCACTAGTAGCTCATACAAATCAACAGAAAAAGCAATTATTGATTAATTATTGATTATTAATAATTGATAGCAATCCTTGTTTTTCTATTTATTCTAATATATATATTTTTTATTTTCAGGTACCTATGACAATTAGGAACCCATATCCATATCTGCATAAAGAAAATGTAGATGTCGTCGATCAGGCTGGTCCAATTTATGAATATAACTTCGGAGCTAAGGTACTCAAAGAGAAATACAAGCCACGCTATTATCAACCGAAATTCGCTCAGACTTACAAAGTGCCAACAAAAGGAGCATACCCCAAAAAAGCCGTTTCTGATATGAAGCATTATTATTACCAGAAACAAGCCGTGCAGCAACTTCAGCAAGAACCACAACAGCAAGTACAACAGGCAACACAGCAACAAATCCAAGATGTGCAACAACAGCAGGTACAACAGCAGCAAGTAGATCAACAGCAGTATCAGCAACAACAGGAATATCAACAGCAAGCACAACAACAGGAATATCAACATCAACATCAAGAGCCACAATTAGATCAAGCACAAAGCCAATAATCGGGATAAAAAAAAATGTTTAGGAATCCAAGTCTCAAATGATAAATTATTATTCGGACTATTTTCATCCATTAAATCGTGAAATACAAAGAAACTAAATCTTTTGTGAAAAATGTAAAATCAAATTATATATAATAATTTTTATATTATATCATCATATCATAAATTACAAAATAAATATAAAAGATAGAAATAGTCCGAATGATAAAGATGATTCTGGAAATGAGTATTATATCATAATACTCATGTGTTACCCTATGTTTCTGAAATCTAGTTAATCTCAAAAACTTTGAGTACCTTACGAAATGTAAATAACTATTGTAAATAGGTTTATCCCTTTATTTGTATCTTTACACCACTACTTTATCCTCTCCTCTTAAAGTAATCTCGGTTTTAAAAGATAAACTTTTTTTTTATTTTTACATTTCATAGTGATATCATTATTTTGTATTAATCTTTTAAAAGTTAGACAAATTCTTATTTTTAAAATATCTCTATGTTTTAATATGTTATATTTATTTTGGTCAAAAATTGTCCTTATGCCATAAACAAAAGTGTTAAACGAGGGCAATATCTGCCATTAATTTCAATTGATTGCCATATAAATATAAATATAAATATACATGTACTTATTAAAAAATACAGCTCTATATTAGTTTATTGTGTTTTATTTATTCTAAACATGCCTTATGATTAACTAATATCTATTTATTAACTGAATAAAAATTCTTATTCTCACTTGAAATTGATAAAATTGACACAAGTTATAATCACATTAATATGATTATTATATTATTACTAGAAAACTCTTTTCTTTTTCAATTATTTTTATTGATGGATAATAATTCAATAATTAAAATCATGGGCGATAGGTATTAGCACTTAAAGTATATATTCATATACTTCAAATATTTCAATATTAAAAATAAAATAATAGAATGAACCACCAGTTATGGTCATAGTTGATTATTACAAATAATTTGCCAGATAACAATATTGGTTAAATATTTAGATTCACAGCATATTACTCCATTAAATTTTAAATTGTAAATATCCTATATTTTCTAATGTTTTTGAATGAAAACTTAGTTGCGTTTTGTCATTTTTTTGTGGCGATTGAATGAGACTGAGTCATGAGGCTCGGGTGTGTAACTCATATTTGAATAAAGTCCGCTCGAGTTGGCTAATTGAAGTGTTTTTGCATGTGGATTAAAATATCTTAGAAACTAAAAATCGGTCCTGCATATTATAAGCAAAAGTTCATCATTTCATCCTCTTTGTAATGAACTATTATACAAAACTTTATCTTAAAATGATGGCGTGTTAAAGAGGCAAAAAGGAAAAAAATAGTATCGACAACCAAATGATAACGAGTTTTAATGAAAATATGGATTGAAATATCTCAGAAAGTAAAAATCGGAGCTATATACTGTAAGCGAGAAAAATGTTCAGCAGTTCGTTCTCTTTGTAATGAGCTATAAATGGTAAATATTATTATTTTTTTAATCTACAACAAAACATAGTTTATACCCAACTATAATTATCTTATATTGTAAATTTTGTTATGTTGCAAATATAGAACAAAGAAAAATTTATATTTCATATTGTGAATCTCACCTTGATGTTTTCACTTCTACCGTGTGGTCTAAAGTACACAACATAATTTTTTTTTTACTGGAAGTTAATGTTACAAGTTTGGGAAAAATGAACTATAGTCATAACAAAAACGTAATAAAAACTATAGTCATGTTACCAAAGTATTTGTTAACTTTTTTTTTTAATTCTTAAAATTACAGTTTATACATAGGAAGTATTTGATATTATTATATATATTAATATTAGCTTATATAGAGAAATATGCAGACAACAGAGACATTTTAGCAAGACACAAAAATCCAACATATCCCTCACAGACCCTACAACAGTATGAATCGGTCCTATCCTTTACACAGTTTTTACAGGTGATATCCTAAAACTGTCACCACCTATGCCGATGACACTTGTGTTCTTTCAGTTAATAATGACTCAACAATAGCATCCCAAAATCTTCAATCACACATCACAAACCTTGAAGAATGGTGTCTAAACTGGAGGATTAAAATAAATTTCAATACATCCCATCAAATCACAGTTGTCACTTTTATAAATCTATGACTTCCTATTGTACAGCATCTTCTAATAATACCCCACTTATTGCTGTAGAACAAATCTGATACCTTGGACAAATGTCTAACTTGGAATACCAGACTGAAACGACTAGATACCACTCTATGTTTCTGGCGACTCCAGCACTTACTAAACAAATGCTCTAAGCTTCCTATTAATTACAAAAGACTCATATACATGACGACAATAAGAACTATTTGGACTTACGGAGTAGAGCTTCGGGATTACATTGATTACCCATCAAATTCCTCTCATATCCAATCCTTACAATCCAAAATCCTTTGTAAAATCATCAATGCTCTTTACTTTGTCACTAATAAAATTATTCATAATGGCCTTAATGTTCCATATGTTTCTGAATTGGCCCAATCCAGATATCTGTCCTTCCATAATTAACTTCAGAACCATTTGAACCATCTCTCATTTCTAACCTTGCTTTCTGTTTGACCCCTGATAACACTCAGAGGCATCTGAAAAGAAGATAGCCTCAAGATCTTCTATTGTAAATTCATTTTTAGAGTGCTACCAGTGTGAAGTTTCTCAACAAGTGTTTTCATATTATTATATTTCTGTAAACCAATTTACAGGATGTATTTTTATTTATAATACAATTGTATATATCATGAATAAATAAAAAAAAACTTTTTACAGACATTAAATAGAGTAAGATGGAATAACTTTGGGACTGGGTGGGTAACTTTGGCATAGCGGGTATAATTTAGTTTGTCATGATTACGTGGTGAATACACTGCGATGGTTCAGTTTACAAAAACGTACTTTGTGTAGGCAGGTACTGCGCTACTACCTTGCGGCAGTTTGAGAGCCCTATTTGACTACACTCGTTGTGCAGTTAGGTTTTATATATTTCCATTGCTTTTTTCTAAATTCATATTTACATGAAACTTTCGCTTATGCCTCAAGAGTAGTGAGCCGCAAGGTTGTAGCGTAGTACATGCCTACATAAAGCACGCTTTTGCTGACTGAACCAACACAGTGTATCCACCATGGAATCACCACAACTAAATTTTACCCGCTGTCCCAATAGTTGCCCACCCAGTCTCAAAGTTACCCTTTCTTACGGTAACTTATCAGATACAATTTACAATAGAAATAGAAAAAAATAATAAAATCAGAGTTCTGGATATTATAACATAACAATTAAATAGGTCAACACATTCTGGTGCAAAAAATCCATAACTAACGACAGAATTTTAAATTGGAGCAGTAACCATGACCAAAAAATTAATTTAGCTAAAAACATAATAGGAAAAGCAAAATTGATCATGGAAAATATCCATGCCAATAAAATAAAAATTGAAATATATAATATACTACTGGATGATTGGTACTCAGTAAGAATTATAAAGAAAATATAATACATAAACATAAAATTAAAAACATTGAAACGTGAAATTAAATGTAAAAATCATAACAAACAAAAAACCTTATTTAATCACAAATTACTTCTGTACAAATAATAATTCTGAAATATCTAATAACCTTGAAAATCAAACTCAAAATTTACCTAATGTTAAACATTTTGAAAATAATTTTGAACAATGTAGCAATAAATATCATTCAACAAATTATATTAAAGAACTAACTAGTAAAATTGAAATGAGTTTCAAGGAATATTGTAAATTAAATTAGGAAAGAAACCAGTAAATAAAATTGAAAAAATATATACTAATACTAAAGATAATATACCATGTGAGATGAAAATTAACGTTATTTATAAAATTAATTGTAAACATTGCACAAATAAATCTTATATAGGAGAAACTGTTCAGTTGTTTTCAAAAAGAATAAAACAACATTAACAAAAATGCTATTCAAAATCAAACTCATCAACTGGCCTTTCACAACACGGAACATACAATTTGATTTCAAAAATGCTAAAATGAAGTAAACAATAACAATAAAAGAAAAATTATCGAGTAAATATATATTGATAAAAATTTGAAGAATTCCGTAAAATTTGAATAATATAAATACCTTCTAATTTAATGAACAATATTTGGATATAATATAATAATTAAATAAAAAGCAAATTTCAAACCATAATTTAGATAAAATAATAAACCATTACAAAATAAAGGAGTAAGAACTCCTCTACCTTTTACTGACTGAACAGGATAACATAAGTCAGTCCCTCCATCGATGATGAAGGGAAAACCCTAAAATATTAGGGCAATTTAATTCTTCTGAGATTAAAAAAAATTATATTGAACATGGATATATAGTTGGAGGACTCGATAAAGCTAAAAATGAAATTAATATAAATGTGTAAATATTATCTACATGAAAGGCAATAAAAATAGTATAATAGTTGATGATGACATGTACAAGAGAAAGATTCATAAATAACTAAATCATAAGCAATCCTCTGAAATAACTGCAGAGAAAACATCATCAAAAAATGGAGCAGTCAGTTATAATTGTGAAAGCAGCTAAAAGAATTGACCATAACTAGTGATTTGCACTAAATGCATAAATTAATAAATAAAATTAAAAACCTAATGTTGACAAAATGAGTTAAACAATATAGTAATAACTAAATAATTTATACAGAACATAAAGAAAATAAAAAATAAAATTAAAAAAAAAAACCTGTACCACTACAACCCATGAAGGGTCTTGGGTTCAGTAGTATTTAGGGAATGCACTGTTTCTTGGTCTGCGGTTGTGCAAGGAGGTGATTTGACCGAGATCACGCTCAACCGCCAGATTTTTCCCATTAATTAATTATTTTAATTAAGGGTACCCACTTTATAGAGGCTGGGTGTGCCCCAGGAAGGTCTACCTACCTAGGGTCGCCCCTCGGCCAATGATGC